CATTTATGCATTCATATGTATTAAGCATCTATTACCAGACACCCATTTGCTCATTTGAAACAGAAGTTATCAGTGAGCAAAGCAAAGACTACATCCCAGCGGAGGAAGGCAAGCAACAAACAACAGACCTATTACATAAACTAATACATAAATAAATTATATAGTGTATTGAAAAGTGACAGAGGAAGGGACAGAGGAAGGGATCCTGAGAAACTAGGGTGGGGGTGGTTTGGAATTTTAAATCTTAGTATGATCGGGGTAAGGCAATATTGAGAAGGTAATTTTTGAACAAAGGCCAGAAGGAGGTGAAGGAGTGGGCATTCGGGTCCGTAAAATGAGTCATTTCAGGCAGGGGGAACAGCTGCGGAGTGTGTTGAGGCCCACCAACGTCAGAGTGAGCATCTGAGGGAGCAGTAAGTGACGAGGTCTAAGAGGTAGGGGGACGGCTGGGATCATGCCATGGGGAGCCTTGAGGGACTTTACTCTGAATGACATAGGGGGCCGTGGAAGTTTTTGGTGCAAAAGAGTGCCATAACTGGGCTTGCATTTTAAAGGAATCATTCCAGCAGGTGAAATGAGACTAGATTACAGAGGATAAGAAGCAGGGAGATGTGTGAAGAGGCAACTGCAGTAATACAGGCAAGAGGTGATAGCTCAGAGTGGTAATGCTGAGGTGGTAAAAAGTTCTCAGGCTGCATAGATTTTGAATTAGAGCCAAAAGCATTTCCTGACAGACTGGAGGAGGGATATAACGGGGAAGAATCCATGATGAGGCCAAGAGTTTTGGGCCAAACAGATGGAATAATAGAATCTCCAACGAGATTAAGACCAAAAAAAAATTCTGATCATTTCCCCCTCGATGGGACCATGTCTGAAAGTGCTTCACTACCCGTCATAAGGCATATATATGGAAGGAAAGGAGCCATTTATAGCCACGTCTGATCCTGGCCAAAAGTAGGTACCAGCTTTGAAGCCTTGATACATTGCTGTCAGCCACATCTGTAAGAAGAGAAAATTTAGGAGAAGTGAAATTTGATAATCAGTTTGTGTAGAAATGGTGCATCTTACTAGAAACAATGTTAACGGTTGCAAAGTTTATTAAAATTTGTTTAAATTATTTAAAATGTGTCTTTGTAGCAGTTAAAATATGTAGGTATCCAGGGATCTATCTTGAAAATCAAAAACATAGTAAGATAGTAAGAAGCAAGGCTGTTTTTTTCAAATTGGTAAAATTGTACAGTTCCTCTTTTCCTTTAAAAGAATTAAAAAACAGAATGAGAAAAAACATTAACAGATAATCTTTCTGTATAACTTCCAGACTGATACATTTATAATACAACACCCAAGTTTTAACATAAGCTATTCAGGTTAACAATCACAGAAACACTTTCCCACTCTCAGCCCTTACAAGCTAGATGGATAACGTTAAACTCAAAGTGGAGCAAGGAGATTGATCCGCTGCCACATTGGGAAATGGAAGTTACTTTGATGCCACACATAGAATGCTACATACTGGTTGCCCAAACCACCAGGCTGGATTATTTTGCTCCGTTGAAGAAAGTGAAAAATTCTTGTTGAGATTTACATCGTACATATTATTGTCAATGATGCCATGTGATTCTGGATACAAGCCCTAAAATGATAATTTCAAAAAAGATTTAAGATAAAACAATATATTAATAAAATATTTATATTAAAATAGCATAAGATCTATTACTCATATTTAGGAAGGATTTTATATGCCTTTCAATATAAAATACCAGAATTTGAACCCAAATATCAGGAGTTATAGAGTCATCCTTGGTATCCGTGGGGGACTGGACCCATGACTTCCCTCAGGTACCCAAGTCCAAGGATGCTCAAGTCCTTGACATCAAATAGCGTGGAATTTGCATATAACCTATGTACGTTCTCCTGTATACTTTAAATCATCTCTAGATTACTCATAATACCTAATACAATATAAACATCATGTAAATAGTTGTCATACTGTATTGTTTAGGGAATAATGACCAAAAGAAAGTCTGTACATGTTCAGTACAGATGCAATTGTTTTTGAATATTTTCAATCCACAATTGTTTGAATCTACAGATGCAGAACCCATAGATCTGGAGGCTGACTGTGTATATGTATATGTACATACTTTTTTTCCTAGTTCTACCATGGTCTATAGCAGCAAGTGAAAGACATGCAAGTGAAAGCAGATGGTTCATGTTGACCATGTTAATATAACTCTTATGTGCTTAATATTAATAACTGTTAATTAAAGTTTTCTACATTACAATAATGATTAGGCATTGGTTATATTGTCAATAATAGCAAGAAATTTACTAGATAGACGCTTTGCATATCAAATATCCTGGCTGTACTGGATTAAAGTGTGTTACCAGCACTTTAAAAGGGAGCCTGCCCAGTCTCTATCCATCTTCCCTTCCATCCATCCATCCATTAGTCCAGTCATCTATTAAATCCAATCATACATATTCGTCCCATTATTCCACACATTTTCATTGAATGCCTATTATATCCCCTGCAGTCGTAACTGCTTTTAGATAGATTTTAGGGTCATTGTTTCAGAACATTACCATATACACACACACACACATATACAAATATATAAATTAAATAGGAAATTAATCACACTTATGTATAATCCCTTATTTGTATATATACATACATGTATATATGTGTATTATATATATTACATATGTATATTTATGTGTATGTATACATATACTGTCAACTCTTGTTATTCAAGATACTTATATTCTATAAAGTTGCCATGAATGCTGAATTAGTGAAGACTGAAACATCCTCCTAGAGAAAATACAGGGTTAGGTTCCTAAGAGGCTCTGTTTACAACATTTTTGTCTGCCAATCAATACATAACCTTGTTTTCTGTGTGTTTCTGTTTAAAGACACCTTGTTTACTGCATACTGTTGGTTTACTGTAACTCACGCCTGAATAAAATTTAGCTAACACATGTATTTTCTCTGTAAGGTAATTCAGAGCCTTCTTGCTCTTAAGAACACCAGACAGCACTTCAGCGCTATGCTTGGGGGCCATTTTAAACAGTGAAATAACCAACAAAAACACAAATATATAAAAAGCATGGCACTGAATAGACAAGAGACTGTGAGAGTGACACCCATTTATAGTGTGAGAGCTAAAACAAGAAGGCAGAATGTCACCTTGTTAGACCTCAGCTAGGAATATGTGCATCAGGCAACTCAAATTTTTTGCTTCTCTGTAATGTACACAAATGGCCACAAATGCACTACTTATTGGTTTGGAGGTTACATATAAATTTTAATGAGTAAGCAAATCCACAAATATGGAATCTGCAAATAATGAGAATACATAATACATAAAGACAACTGTTTAAGGATTAAAATTTAAAAATTATAGTTACTGTTATATAGTAATAAAAGACTAAAATGCAAAGTAGTAAAGACATGAATATCCTTTGGTGATAAAGGCTGAGGCAGAGGACTCCTTAAGGTGTGTTCTAAATCTGTAAGTCTTAAATAACTCAATTTTTCATAGAGTTAATTTTAATCATTTCACCTATACCTTTTTACACATTGAGGAGAATGCACTTGTTTTAGTTGCTTTATCTAAAGAGATGTAGCCAATATGGATTCATTTATGAAATTAATATCATTTTCAAGTAAATTATAATGAAAAGACTAAGAAAGAACAAAATTTTCCACATCAAAGTAGTTGTCCTCATATATAGCTTATCATTCCCAGCAGACCTTCAGGTAAGTGAAGGGCAATCAAAAGACCAGAGGAAAATAGTATCTCTCACAACAAAGAAGCTATCCTGGGCTCTACAGGGGTGAATTTACCTAGTGCTTGGGCCATTCATTCATAGTTAATGCCTCATCACACCAGATTGACCTCACGTTGAGCCATGACTTCCCAGCCTAAATTAAGCCAGGAACTATCACCACACATGCTCGTGAAGTGTGTGTCCCGGGGCTTGGCCAGTTTCTGCCCAAGCAAGCCTGTCTGGTGCGGTCAATTTCCTATCTGTGGCCTTTCGGTCTTGCCACTGGGCCAAGCACTTACCGTGACAATGGTGTAATGATTTGGGAAAGTTTTGGTAGGATACATAGATCTCATATATTCTGGATGAATTCCACAGGTCTCTGCAACAAAATATAGTGAGAAATTAGAAAGTTGTTTTGTACTCAGTCTTTTGGATAACTAAAACTCTGAACATGAAAGTTTCTTAGAAAAATAGAAAACTAACTAAAGAGTGGGTTGAAGATGGAAGGAGGTCACAATTCTGATCCCCAAACTTCCTCCATGCCAAGGAATGTCAGCTTTTTGGAGCAAAGTGTGCTAAATCAAGGTCTATAAAATTGTTCTGTAAAGAGCCAGATAATACATATATCAGGCTTTGCGAGGCCATCTGATCTCTGTTGCAACAGCTCAACTCTGCTGCCACTGTGGCCCCCAAGCCTTTATAGACTATCCACAAAGAAATGAGCGTGGCTTTCCAATAAAACTTTATTTACGGACATTGAAATTTGAATTTCATATAATTTTTACATGTCACAAAATATTCTCCTTTTTTCCGACCACTTAAAAATGTAAAACAATTCTTAGTATATATGGCAGATCATACAAAAACAAGTAGAGTGGACCAAATTTGGCCTGTGGGCCACAGCTTGCTGACCCCTGAGCTAAATGTACTCTAAATTATACACTGCCAGCTTGCTTTGCTCTGGCTGCTCCCCTCATTCTATCTCTAGCAATTACAATGAGACTTTCTACATTGCACTTGCATCTAGCTAAGGGTTCTTATATATAAAGTACCTAACATAACAAAAGTCAATAAAAAGGGATTTGGGATTTGACTTATATAATTACATGAGCCCACATCATATAGTATTATTTACAAAATGAGCTGACTTTACTGCCTATCATTTCCAGTACAGTTTCCATTTAATCAGTGAAGTTTCCTGTAATTTGTTTTTCACAAACTATGGCAATAATTTTGCTTCATTGTTTTGCTCTTTTTAATCTGTGCAATAACCCTATTGAAGGAGGTCAGAACCACCAGGGTGCATTGCTATTTCCTCCACAGCAGTGAAGGGACAAGGAATTTTCCATACCAAAATCCTGTTGCCTCTAGTTCTAAAAGAAAACATCACCATTACAGGTTTTGTTTAGGCTAAAACAGAAAGTGAAATTGATGATTGTCCAAAGAGTAACGATCTTCGCATCTGGACACAACAGACGTTTTTTTCAAATAGGTATGAGATTGGTCTCCTTATCAGCCTTTGATCCAGGAATTTCCTTCTTCAGAATATTCTAGGGCCTCTTCAAGTCCGCTAAATAGGACTCTCTGATAAGAGTTGGAGGGTGGGAGATAAAGGAAAGGGAGTTCAAAAAAAAATTCTATATTTTTAACTAGCACACGAGGTGATTCTGATGTACTTAAGTTTGAAAACTGCTCTAGGACTTGATTTATAAAATACAATTTAAGATTAAATTAAGTTTTATTTTTCTTTTTTAGTCAATATCACCAAAAAAGAAATCTTGGCCTCAATTAGGGAAAGATACATTTGATACTGTTAAGAAGTCATATAAGAAGAAAATAAAATGAGACCTAATCCACTTAAATAATTAAAAGAATTTAAGTGGGGAAAAAAAGTTGTACAATGAACAGAGATATAAAGTCAGTCTCTGAATTTATTTCTTTGAAATATGAGTGGCAAATTCAAATTTTTAAATGCTTAAAGTCACGGGCTATAAGATAAAATTCAAACTAAGCTACCAGTGTTGTAAAAACATGGTACCACTCTAGTCATGATGTCCTAAACGGGACACATCTGCTGTCTATAGACTCAGGCTACCATTTTCTATCACCTGCCTTTGAACCAGGGATACTGGAGAAAAGCCCACAGAAAGCATGATCTTCTACCATTGTTTCTTCCAGATCTGAATAATCTAAATTATGATTGAATAGAATACTTCTGGAAGTACACACAATAACCCAATAAGAGTAGCTGTTTTTGCAAAGCAAAAGTAGAAAGGTCAGGAATGAGATTTGGTTTGTTTGTTTTTTACTATATACATTTTAGCATGGTTTAAAATGTTTATCATGTGCATATTTTACTTCTAAAAAATTTTCTTCTTAAGAAAGAAAGTACCAAACAAAAATAATTTGAAAATATAAATGGGATAAGCCTGTGTAACATGGCTTGTAGTAACTATAAACTATAAGGAGGGACAAAAGACTAAATGGTAAAGCAGCCAAGGAATGTACAAATCAAAACTACATTGTATTCTTTATGAAATTCTTATAAGGATTGTCATAATTAAATATTATTAATTAAGGTATTCTTACAAATTAAAAACATAGCATACTCCTCCCCAATATTCACCAGCTCAAAATAGGTACTTGATATTTTATATGTAATTTAGTAGAATAACCTAAAAAGATTTGCCATAAGGTTGGCCAGTGTCATTTCCAGTGCTCAAGGAAATCAAGAATAATAAGCTCTGTGGGGCTTCTGAGTAGTTGCAAGATAGTAAGATCTTCCCAGCAATTACAAGTATGCATCCAAGCTCTTGGCACATAGAGAAGAAAAGGCAAAAGAAGGCAGATAGGAGTGATGTCTGCAAGACAGCACAATAGGAAGTTCTGGACTCTTCTTCCCATCACAGACACAACCATTCAATAGCAACACATGAATCAGTTCCCTTTGTGAGAAGTCCAGAAACTACTTGAGAGACTCCTGCTTAATGGGCAAGTTCAAAACCAGCCACATTGAAACTAGTAGAAAAAGTGGAAATATTCCTTTGACATAATCCTTACCCCCAGTATAGCACTATATGATCAGGAGGGAATCCCCAGCTTCCAGTTTTTCCCCAAGGAGGGAAAGAATTGGACCACACATCCAACACCCCAACTTTTCCTGGTGCTATCTGAGGGACTGGCTTCTATTTTTCCTTTCTTGGAGAGCTGACAGGACCCACCATGCGCTAGTCTCTTAGGGACTACAGAGAACAAAGAAGAGTTTTGAACTAGCATGCAATAACTCGTCACAGCCCCTCCCCTAGCTTAGCACAGAGAAAATAGGCAAAAAAACCAACCAACCAACCACCACCACAACAAAAAACACCCAGACCCCAACTTATCCCTGGAGAGAGAAAGAATTGTACAGGGCATCTTATGATCCAAATTCTCTGGTGACTGTCTACGGAACTGGTTTCAGTCTTGCTTATCTTGAAGCACTGATGGGACCCGGCATACTGTAGATACCTGGGGCCCCTAAGAACAAAGAAAGAAGGATGGACTAGCATGAAGGTTTATGGGACCTCCAAAATCTCTAACCAGGCTGATTGGTGAGAGTTTCTCCATATAAAGCCAGTCCATAAACACTGAGAGAAGTAGGTGTTTTGTCTAATGTGCAGATACCAACATAGAAGAGTAAAGGAAAAGGAAGAAACAGTAAAATATGTTCAAAGCAAAGGAACATAAATAAATTGACCCTGATGAAGCAGAGATGATTTATCTAATTGAGAATTCAAAATAACCATCAAAAAGATGCTCATTGAGGTCAGGAAAACAATGCATGAACAAAGTAAAAATTTCAACAAAAAGAGAGACAATATAAAACAAATGCCAAAAGGAAATCATCGAGCAGAATATAATAACTGAACTGAAAAATTCACTAGAGGAGTTCAACAGCACAATAGATCAAACAGAAGAAATGACCAGCGAAACTCAAAGATAGGTTGTCTGTCGGAAAGTATTAAGGCAGAGGAGCAAAAAGAAAAAAAAGAATGAAAAGGAGTAAAAAAAGATTAAGAGGTTAATGGGATACCATCAACAGGGCAAATACATGAATTATACGGTTTTCAGAAGGAGAAGAGAAAGAGAAAGGACCAGAATGCTTATTCAAAGAAATAATGGCTCAAAATTCCCCAATTGAAGAAGAAAATGGGCATCCAGGTCTAGGAAATTCAAAGAATCCCAAATAAGATGAACATCAATAAATCCACACCAAGACATACTATAATCAAATGTCAAAAGCCAAAGAATTTCGAAAGCAAGGGAAAAGCAGATTCTCACCTCACTAGAGTGTGATTCTAAGGGCTACTTCCTCATGCACTGAGTGCTCACTAAGGTGACTCACTGCTCTGTGGTATTAGTTCATGCTCAGTTTGTATGACCATTGTGGCCCAACCCAGGCAGCTTCATGTGACACTAGGGATGGGGCTCTGGACTTCCTAATGGTGGTACCTGCTGTCACATAACTTACCTCCAGGCTACCATAATCCTAATCTTATTTCACCATATCTGTTCTTAATCAGGCCTCCTAGAAACTAACAGCCCTGTTTTGCCTTGGTAGACCTACTTAGTAAGATCTTGGGGATAGAGATGCTGTTTGTATGATTAAAAAAATATTTTAAACGTTAGGAAACGGAAAGCTGCCAACAGCTGACTATTTCACTGATATCATTTCCAATTCTCAATGGGATGAACAATTCAAAGAATTCCACTTCAAAGGGGGTTCAGTTTGGGCCTGGCTAGTTAAATCCCCTTTTGGACACATGATTTGATATCCAGATTATCAAGAGAAATTCAGACAAGGAAATGGGAAGTGAGAAGTGTTAATTAACTTCCTAGGGCAAAATTACTCAGTAGTAAGTGACAGGTCCTGGATTTGGAAAACTATTAATCTCTTTGTTAAAGGTCTGCCTCAGGGAGTGAGAGAAAAGCTGAAGAAACAATGCACTTTGCTTTGCAGGAGGAAGTAGTTTATTTTTCTACAACGCTGCCATCTGAGAGCTAGAATTAATGGTAGAAATCATTAGGTCTAGTCTTCTCATTTTATAAATGAGGAAATTGAGGCCAAGAAAAGTCAATCATCTTACCCACATTCAAACAGCTATTCTTTCATAATTTGGAGGAAAATAAAAGCAAGAAGCCAGTAAAATTGGCATCAAGTTTGAGAACTTTGGAGATATAGGGGAGTCCGGGGGGAAGGGAGAGGAAAGAGAGGAATTGCAGGCAGTGAGGAGTGTGGGCCCTGGAGTTAGCCTTCTGGTTCTAACTGTGCCACTTCTTAGAGCTGTGTCCTTGGATACTCAACTTCTCTTCATTATTACCTTTATTAAATGGTGTGACGGACAAATGCCCTAATGCAGAAGTGCAACATCATGATCAAGATGATAATAAAAACAGTAGTAACGATAATTTAAAAGCATTCAACGTACACTACATGTCAAACAGCTATTTTTTTTAATTTTGACACTACAAGTACATTCTTACAATAATCCCATCAGGTAGGAGGTGGTCATTGTACAGATGAAGAGACCGGGGCACCAAGGCATGAGGTAAAGTTGTCTGAGATCTCCCAGCTAGTAGGTGGTAGAGCCGGGTCCCAGAAACTGGAACTAGATCCAGGACTTTTCTTTTTCTGGAGTGTTGCTGGATGCTGGATCTTGCAGCCTACCTAGGTTCCTTCAGGATCCTGTCCTTGCTGGCTAATCTACCTGGCTAAGACCCAGAACCCAGTTCTGACAAATAGAACTTTCGAGACACTATACATGAACAATTTCCATAGGAAAGAAGGTATATTTAAATACAAAGCAAATCAAAATAAACAAATAAAAAGATGAATATGCTACCAAAGAAAGGTAGGAGGAGCCAGCAAGTATGAAAATACACTCCGTACTGAAAATGGGTACCATGCGGTAAAGTCATCAGGGTCTTGAGAGGACCTCTGCTAAGATAAACCTCCCACATTAACAGAAAGAAAATTGCACCATCCAGAGATTGACTAACTGGGTGTCTTTATCATTTGCATGCAATGAGTTGCAGAAGACTTACTCAGTTTATCGATATTTGGCATTAAAGGACCCCATGTGTGTAAATATTCAGCTCTAAATCCATCCAATGAAAACAGGATAACCGGTGGTGGGTCAAACCTGAAAATGAGAAGCAAAAACATTGTCTATTATGTTGATTGGTAAAGAAAATATGTATATACACTTTTCTGTACTACTTATAATTCTCTAAATTAGAAAATGCTTAGAAAGTACAGTAAGAACATATTTCTGGGTCAAGTAATGATTATTAAATTCTATCATCTTTTGGATGTAATTATGATTTGAAATTTAGAAACTCTATGATGTTTTATTATTCTAAAGTTCTACATTTTAATTCTTTATTATAATATCTCAGAATGTTAATATACACCTCAAAAGAATTACAAGCTCTTTTTAGACTAGTATTTAAGTTAAAGTGACAGAAGGTAACTTTTAGGCTATAGTCAGTGACTGTCATTCTTTAATTTGGAATTTTTTTCACTTTTTAAATTTGACTTGTATTATACACACACTCATTTCCCAGATGTGCAGTTCGATAAATTTTTACTAACTGAACTCAGCAGTATAGAAATCACCCAGATCAAGGAACAGAATACTGTCAGCACCCTTGCACTTCCTTCTAGTTTCTAAACCCCTCAAATCACATCCCACCATGGATGATCAGCATCTTGAGTTCTAACAGCATAGATTTTTTTTTGTCTATTTTTATATTTACATTTAGATCCAAATAGAATCATATAGTATGTGTTTTGTTGAGTCTGGCTTTTTTTAGTTGACATTATGTTTGAGACTTCTCCATGTTGTGGCAAGTAATTATAGCTCATCCATTCTCATAGCTGTCATGTATTCCAGTGAAGGAATAAGCCACAACTTACTCATTCTACTGTCGATGAGCACTTGGGTATTTTCCAATTTGGGGCTATTAAGAATAGCAGCTATGAACACAGCAAATTTGTTTTAAATTCCAAACACTGTGCATGAGAGTGAGTATGCAAAAGAAATTCTTTTCAACTCTGTGCCTACGGAGCTTCACTTCTACATTTTTGAGCAAAAACATATTTATTCAACAAATTTGGTACGAATACATCTTTAAAAATTCCGACAATGAGCTCCATCCAAGATGGCGACTGAGGAACCGGAAACCACACCTACTCTTGATCCCCTGCCTACGGAAGAGGGGAAAACAGAATCTAATCCGGAGGTTACTAACCCAGAACACTGTATTAAACGTCCTCTACAGAATAGATGGGCGCTCTGGTTTTTAAAAAGTGATGAAAGCAAAACTTGGCAAGCAAACCTTTGGCTGATTTCTAAGTTTGATACTGTCGAAGACGTTTGGGCTCTGTACAACCACATCCGGTTGTGCAGTAACTTAATGCCTGGCTGTGACGACTCACTTTTAAGGATGGCATTGAGCCTATGTGGGAACATGAGAACAACAAACGGGGAGGACGATGGCTAATTACATTGAGCAAACAGCAAAGACGAAGTCACCTCCATCAGTTTTAGCTAGAGACACTTCTGTGCCTTATCAGAGAATCTTTTGATGACTACAGTGATGATGCATGTGGAGCTGTTGTTAATGTTAAAGCTAAAGGTGATAAAATAGCAATATGGACTTCTGAATGTGAAAACAGAGAAGCTGTTACACATATAGGGAGGTATACAAGGGAAGCTTAGGACTTCCTACAAATATCAGGCCCATGCAGACACAGCTACTAAGAGTGGTTCCAGGACGGGCGGGTGGCTCACGCCTGTAATCCTAGCACTCTGAGAGGCGGAGGTGGGAAGATAGCTTGAGCTCAGGAGGTAGACACCAGCCTGAGCAAGAGTAACACCCCGTCTCTACTGAAGATACAAAAAGATTAGCCGGGCTACTTGGGAGGCTGAAGCAGGAGTATTCCTTGGAGCCCAGGAGTCTGAGGTTGCTGTGAGCTAGGCTGAAGCCACTGCACTCAACTTGCTTGGGCAACAGAGCAAGACTCTGTCTCAGAGAAAAAAAAAAAAGGCAGTTCCACCACTAAAAATAGGTTTGTTGTTTAAGAAGACACCTTCTGAGTATTCTCATAGGAGACTGCATCAAGCAATTGAGATTTGGAAGCTGAACCAAAGCCTCTTCAAAAGCAGAATGTGGACTGCATTTAAATTTGATTTCCATCTCAGTGTTGCTAAGATATAAGAGAAGTCTCATTCGCCTTTTTTTTGCACTTCTGTGTTCTTTTTTTTTTTTTTTTTAAATTTTGGCTAGAGTGTCCACTATCCCAATCGAAGAATTACAGTACACATCGTCCCCAGGATCCATAAATGCGTTCCTTGCCCACTGTAATAGGTTAGTAGAATTACCATTATAAACACATTTTACCCATCCACAATATTCAAAAAACAATTTGCATTTCTGTACCTTACAAGAAAAAAGTTCTGTTTATGTTCCATTGTATGCAGGAGCATATTTTGCTGGTTTGAAAGAGAACAATGCATATAGTTTTCTAGCAATTTTCTTTGTTTCTTATTACAGCATTGTCTTTCTGTACTCTTGCTGATGGCTGCTAGATTTTAATTTATCTGTTTTCCTACTTGATAACATTAGTGATTCTGATTTCAGTTTTTCATTTGTTTTGCTTTTGTTTTTTTCCTCATGTAACATTGGTGAAGGATTCAGGAATATGACACAAATGGGGAATAAACATTAATTTGTGCATTCTTTTTTTGTTTTTCGTAACTACCAAGCTTTGCTACAAATTTATGCATTTCAATAAAATCAATAATCTATGTTTATGTGATTTCCTAAACATAATTGTGGATTATAAAAAAAAGTAACATCATACTTATATTCCTAACTAGAATTAGTATGTCTGTTTTGTATCTTTATGCTGTATTTTAACACTTTGTATTACTTAGCTTATCTTGCTTTGGTTAAAAATGGCTCAAGTAGAAAAGTGGTCCCATTCATTTTAAGACAGTGTACAAAACTATAAATAAAATGTGTACAGTGAATTGTCTTTTAGACAAAAAAATTCTGCCAAATTACCCAATATGATCAAAATGAAAATTCTGAATGCTGATGCCAGGTAAAAATAAGAAAATGGTTTCAGTTTTTTCAATGTGCTTGAGTAAAGCTAGAAAAAATACTAGCATAGGCATCTAATTCCACATTGTAAAAGAAACTGAGGATAATCTGGAGAACAAGTCTACTCAGCTTCCTAGAATGTGAATTTATTATAGAATAATAACAAATGTCTGAGTTAGACATTGTGCTAGACTCTGAGAATAAAGACATAAAAGAGTTACAGCCCTTATCTAGGGTACGAATTTGAGAAGTAACCAGGAGTAATATGGGCTAGATTTGAGTACAGGGTGCTATTCAAGTGCATTAGAAGGATGTCAAACTCAATGTGTGTAAAGTGAGAAAAGTCCCTCAAGGAACTGTGACATGAGCTAAGCCCTAAAGAACAAATAGAAGTAACATGAAAAGAGAATAGTACTAATGTTTTAATCAGGGAAAACAGTCCGTGCAAAACCCATGTGAGAAATATGACACATGCAATAATGTTTAAGAATCTCAAAAACATTAGGTTAAGCCAAAAAAGCCAGACATAAAAGAACCTGTAGAATAATTCCATTTATATGAAATTATAAAACAGGAATCTGTGGTGAAAGAAATCAGACCAGTGGTTGCCCTTGGGGACGGGGAGGAGGGGCATGAGTGGAAAGGGACATGAGATATCTTTCAGGGCTGGTGAAACTATTCTGTATCCTGGAAATATTCTATGTCAGCGAGTTACTCGGGTTTATGAATTTCCACATCTCATTATGGCTGCCATACACTTAAGATACAAGCAATTCAATGTGTGTGAACTACAGTATACCTCAATTTGAAAATAAAAATGGAAAATTGAGACCATTTCAACTTCAATGTGCAGAAAATTCATCAAGAAATCAAAGTGGCCTAGTGCAATTTGCATTAGAAAATACTTCTTTTTTCATAGTCATTAGCATAATTCTGATTTAAAAATGTATGTTAATAAATATGCCATCAAGATAACATTGCAGCTTAAAAACAGGGTCAGCCATGTATGGGGTGAAGAGTGAGATCCAAGGAGCCGGTACACCCATTTCTTAATACTTAGTGGCCTCCCTGCTTCTCCAAGCTAGCTACCATAGAACTCCAGAGTGCGTTTTACACTCTGCTGTCATGAACATTCTGATAACTAAAACACCCCAGATAAATTCCTGAAGATCAGATTTTCTAGCCTAAGGACAAACTTTCAAAGGAGACTAAAATATTTTGTCCCAATTCTCTCCTTACAGTCTATCAGTCTATATCAATTTGTATAGTACTTCCATGAGCAAGACAGGTGGCTAGTACTTTATATGAATTGTGGTGTATTGATTATTTCATGGGATGAAAATTGTGTCTTCTTTTCATTTTTATTTCTTTGATTGGTAATAAGCTTGAACGTCACATCAATATTATTTCTACTGCCTGTGATGAAGCTTGAATAAGAGTTTGCAATAAGACAAGAATTGTCATCTCATATTTATTATTTCATGTTATCATTAGCAAAAATATCTAACAACCAGGTGCTAATGTCACCTCTGGCTTACAAATGAGACAGGTAGGGAGGATCAGGTAACTTATTTAAGGTGTCCTGTTGCTAGTAGGGACAGAGCTAAGCTATTGGCCCTCATCTGTCTGATTTAAGAGTCCACACTTCTTACTATACTATGATGACTAGTAAAACAGTAAAACAAACAAACAAACAAATCGAAATACTAGCTTAAATGTCCAGCAAGAGAATTTCATGTACTACAATGTCTCCAGCCACTAAAATTGTTACCTGCAAATATTATTAACAGTGGCCAGGATCATCATTATACCTTTGTCATGCAGGGACAGAGCACGTGGGCGAAATGACTCCAGTGGAATAAATGGGATGAGTGGACGGTAGGAGACAATCAATGTTACATTTACTACCACCACCCCTTTCCTCACCAGCTTCTTTCTGGTCTGTCTTGCTTCAGGGTTACCAAACTGTCCTGTAGTTTCTCTGTTACTCTGCTCCAGCTCTCGGATCCTCAGGTGGACAAGTGATTGGCCAGGCTGTGGTAGACCATTCCAACTAATCACTTAATCACTTAGGCTCGGTCGTCTAGGTTTGCTGAAGTTCTTTACAAGAACCTTAGTGAAAACCTTCCTGCTCACTTAACATCTCTCTCCTCTCAATTATCAACCAGAAGGGGAGTCTTGGGGCCACAAACAATTCTCCCCATATTCCACCCCTTCACCCTTCTTCTGGTCAGTTGCACAGTGGCACAAGACCAGGCTCTGACTTGAGAGGGTGTCATGCCACAGAGACTCTGGGGCCTTCCTGCCTGGGTTTGCTTCCTGCCTCCAGCAGTCATTAGCAGGGTAACCTCAGGCAAGTGGCTTCACAGCTTCGAGCCTCCATTTCATCATTTGTAAGATGGAAATGGAGATAATAGGGCCTATTTTGAGGAGTTTGTATAGGGAATAATATATATGATGACTATTGAGTAAAGCACGTATCGGTACATAATAAGAACTATATAAATGTTAGCTGTTATTATTATGCTTTTGTCAGAGGTAAATTGTCAGTGTAATTTGAACCATGAGAAAAGGCCATCTGAATCTAGGCTGTTTGGTTCTGTAAGTTCAAGTATCAGGTTCATCTAATAAATTAAGCCACCAAAGGACATTCCCACTAGAAAAATATTTATAATTTTTTAAGTATCTACTTTATGCCATGCACTAGAACTAAAATTAACCTACTGTTTTATAACTTATCAAGCATTTTCCCTATCTTTAGTTCATTTAATTCTCCCATGAAATCTTCTGAACCTGAGATCATTGTTTTTTTATTCCAATTTTATAGATGGAGCTCAGAGAAGTGAATAGTACAAAGTCCCACAGGCAAACTCAATACTCGAACTCAAGTCTTCTTTTTATTCTAAATCCTTTGTTCTTCCACTCAAAAGCTGCTAAAGAGGGCAGCTGGATCTGAGCTACACACTGAAGTAGCATGGTACAAACCCAGATACATCATCTACATACATTTTTTAAATCAGATTATGCTGTTTAAAAAGCTTCTACCAATTCCTCCTAAAACCAGGTGTTCCTTTCTCTTTTGTTCACCTCACCATCATCCTCCCACTAGTTGGCCCAGAAAAGTGTTTAGGACAGAGTTGGGGATGGAAGAAAGGGACTCCACGCTGGCTCTGAGGGGATGTGGGGCACGTCTCTAGGTCTGGGCAAGGTCGAGTGAGCAGCTATGATGAACATGTGGAGGAGACGCGTGGAAGGGTAGGGATAGGGGTGTCACCTCACATGTGCCTCCCCTGTGCCCCCTGACAAAGCCCTCTTCATCCACCCTTCAAGGTCCTCCTTTCATTGTGAGGCCTTCCATGGGAAAAACCTCCTCCCTTCCTTCATAAGAAGAAATTTGAGGCACCAGGATGTTAGTAGAAGAGTCCTGGCAGGACTAATTTCAATCTAAATTCCAGTCCTGGCCATAGAACATTGGGAGTGTTACTTATCCAAGGATCCAATACTCCAACCAATTTTTTAAGTCATTGTTCAAAGACATGAATGTAATAAATTAATATAAAAATGCTTTGTAAAGAATAAAACAAACAAAAGTCCATTAGTACTTTGAAGCCACAAGAAATCCAGTCTTTTGTTAATTATTCTGTTTCATGATGTAAGTACAGTGAAGGAAACCCCTTCCTCTCAACTATATTCCCATGGGCCCCCTATGAAAGGAGGATAAAAACCCCCTATTATTTATCCTTACCCTTTTGGACACTGAGACTGCTGGGCTGCATCACAGTCTTCTTCCACCCATGGGGTTTCTCCTAAAAAGCATAAGAAGGAAATCTTTATACTGCTGCACCACAGACAAGAAAAGAGAAGCAATGTTCACCGGACATGGTCTTCATGAACTGCTTAATTCACGTTACTCCGATGACCAAATTCTTCCAGAGCACATTAAGTGCTATTTCACTTGTAGACAAGAGCAGTGCCTTGAGGGACTTGCAGACATCAGTAATCTACACTAACTGAATACAGGATGGCAATCTTTACCAAGAAAAACACAGAACAGTTCTTTGGCTAAAAAGGGACATTATTATTATTATTATTTCTTCTTCTTCTTCTTCTTCTTCTTCTTCTTCTTCTCTTCTTC